AGCGCACTTTCCATCATTAAAAACAATTGCAGTCGTATCATGCAAATTATTATGGTAATGGTGTAATTTTAAAATATTTTCCTCACAGTATATCATATTTGCCTAGTTGGTAAACTAACACTTTTTAGGGTGCATGAGAGTCATAACAAGGACTTAAGAAATAATGGAGGTCCAGGAGCCTTTGGAGAACATAACCAGATGAAGATAACATAGGCTGTTCACATGAATCTCATGCATACACTGAGTATGTAAAAGTTCTCCTCTGGTCTTTCCCTTTTCCCTTTCAAACTTTCATTTATTTGTCTCCTCTGATTTGATCTTTTTTCTACATTTTCGATTATTTTTTTTTCACATTTATATGAACTTTTCTGTGCTATGAAGAAAACTGAAAACATACAAGGTGGTTTACCCTCTACATCCTTGAAAGCAAAGGCAATATGTGTCAGTACTGGCCACTACAAAAAGGCCTAGTAACCATGAAAGACTAGCTATTGAATTTCATGCACATATGCTAAAGTGGGCATGAAGATGTGATGGGGAGATATGTGACTTTCTTAAATGTCATATCAAAACCAAAATGTATGAAAGAAATAATTTAATATTTCTTGCTGAATGCAAAATTCCAGATGAAATAGAAAATTTACCTTGTAATATACACTTTATCTGTTTCTTCATGAATGTAGTCTGAGCAAAAGGACGAAAACCTTTTCGTCCTTTTGCTCAGACTAGATTCCTACTAAAAGTGGCACAATGCAGAAACATCTCTGGGTGCATGTCCTTCTGTGTGGTATTAGGCAGCTGGTGGATTGTTGGGCGACCTGGGCACCCCTTTTGCTTTAAGAAGCCATGAAAAAAGCTGTTGCACTGATGAAAATGTGTCATCTTTTTGGCTCGAATTGAAGGGTTTTACAAATCCACTGCAAACCCTAATGAACACATGAGCCTTGCTGTAGCATTGTTGGGTGCAAGTATGGTACAAACAAAACCTCTGACCGTACCCACTGTGACTGAACAACGTTCAGTTATTCTCTCCACTTTCAAACGGTGTATGCAGACATTAAAAATAATAGCTCAGATTTATACACTGCCTTTCAAGAAACCCAAAGCCCCTTTACAAAAGAGTCTAAATAAGTCTACATTAGTATTAGTTTAGGAAAAAAGCAGGATGGTGAGTTCAACTTTTCCAATGCACAACATTATTTGAAAACTATATCTGAAGAGTGCATATGCCATGGAGATTAGTGGAAACCACTTTTTGTGATTCCTCAGAATCTGGAATAGAAAGACATTTTTTTGGTGTATGTGTTTATTGCCCTCAGTATAGCCATGTGGGTTAACCCAAGTTAGTCCAGAAGGTGGCAGTGTTTCATACCATTTAGTCCCACGTTGCAGTTAAAAGCAGGGGGGTGTCAAACTCTGTTTAGTTAATGGACCACATATAAGGCAATTTGATCTCAAATGGGCCAGAGCATAACAACGCGCCTTTAATTCAAGTAAGCAAAAGTTCCAATTTGTTAGACCATCTATTTAGAAAACATGTTGAAGCGGTTGGATAACAATAAAATAAGTTCAGATTCAACAGTATGTCTTATTGCATGTCCATTACAGATCACAGTGAGTCTAGAAATGCATAAAACCATCAGATGAAGAGATTTGAGGTCTAAAGTACAATATTATTTTTCTCCGTATGATTCAAATAAATTTGTCAAGAACAACAAACATGCTTTATACTTTATACTTTTATATGTGCATGAAAATAATAAAATAATAATAAAATAAAATAATAAAATAATAAAAACATAAATGAAGTTTTTAAACTTTGTAAATCCATTTAAATTTCTAAATTGGACCCTTTAAAAGCTCAGTTTCCATTTGCATACACAGACCATAAGGTGCATGTGTATATGTGTGTGCTCTTAGCCTATATGTTTGACATTCACTCTCTCCTGGTCAAAGTCCCTTTAGTGTTTTTTTACCCTAATTTCTATACCTGAAGCATAGAGGTGGTACTGAAATTAAAATTCTATTGTAGACGTCCTGCGTAGTTAGAGTTCAGGTCAGGGACAGGCCAGTGTGTTCAGGTTTGGCATTCAGTGTTAATGAGTACCTAACGGAGGTCACTGCAGTCATGCTGATGTGTTTTGTGCATGTGTGTCTTTGTGAAGGAACATTTCCGTGTGTTGTGGCCATACAATTGACATTGCAACTACTGGGCTGCGGGACTTGAATGCGTTGATATGATCTACTGTTCAAAAGGTCACACAGAACAGTGAGCTGTTATGTCAGTCATTAATGATCCAGTCTGTCATTGTTTTATTCATAGATTGAAGCTGCTTTAAGTATTACTTTGTGGCGTAAAATACAAGACAGATTTTATTCTGTATTTACATATATCATAAAGAAAAATAAGCATCCGGTTAATGCATGTGTATCTAATGTAATGTGTTTGTGCAATAAAAGATGATATAATAGAGCAGGGGTGGGCAATATTAATAGCCACCCCTGTTTTAGAGTTATAGCAAGCCCCTGCACCTTGGGCATTCAGCGAGCGTTTGGTGAATTTCTTCTGCCTTCATTTCGTTCATTTCAAGTTGCATGAACACTGTGTCCTGTGTTGATCTCTCGTCTTACATGCCTATTTACATGCCAAAGACTCTAAACTTATGGAGTTCTGTAGATGCGGGACCAGCCACTCGCTTCGACAAAACCCTGTTGTTATGATGTCTGTTAACTGGTTCTACGATTGTTGTGCTGATGTTTGGAAAAAACACTAAAAAGCTGTGAAAATGTAGGCCAGCAGTGTCACGTAGAAAGAGCTGAGGGATCATTTTAATCACTGCGTTGTCGTACTGGTCATGAAAAGGGGAAGTGAGAAGTGTGCTGCTCTGCAGTTTTCATTGGCACCTTGTTTCTCACACAGGCTTCTGTGCACAGTTCCCCAGATATCTAACTGCAACCCCTTTCCACTCCTTCTCACAGCAACACCCACTTTCTGACACAGCTGTGTTTTTTTTTTTTTTGAATGTTTGCCAAAAAAGCAGAAAGCACTGGTAAGAAATTCTTCGCTTGAAGATTAGAATCCGGCAACCTAATCTACAAGCTTCACAAACTGACCAGCACTTAGTTAGTGACAAGAAAGCTTGTGAACACTTGAATTTGTAGGATTTTGCACTGACTGGTTTCTAAATGTTTCCTGATCTTTGTGAAAGTTACTTTAAAAGCCACACTCAGACTAAACTAATAACCTATAAACACTTTTACATTTATTGGTAATAGTAATGGACCAGTTCTTATATAGTGTTTTTCTACTCTACTTGAGCACTCAAAGTGCATATTTCATGTCTGTATTGCAAGTGAAGGGCATCACATTGAAATTGTTAGAAGGAATTTTATAAAATGATGGTTTTCTCTGGGTGCTTTTGGGCTGAATATTCATTTTGCACTCTGAAATCAGTTTAAACCAGGTCAGACATTCTGTCTCTGTTGTTTATTTTGTCTAGATAAATATAATTAGAGGTCTGCTGAATGCTCGCCAATGCCAAGAATAATCGGGGCAACATGGGAGCCAAATAATTTGCAGAACACTTTCAGACAGAAATGCCTGAGGGGCAACAAAAAGAGCTTTGTCTGTGTTGTTGGGGACAAACTTCAAAACAAGAGGCTAAACACAATGCTCTGACCCCCGAGGTTAAGCACACAAAGGAAGGAGATTTTTGACTAGCTGTGGTCATGTGACTAGCCTCTGCGATTTGACCATAAAAAAGAAAAATGTGAAGAAGTGCCATCATGTCATACAAAGGAGACAAACCCATCAAGGGAGTTTTCCACTGATGCACGATACAAGATTCACGGAAAATGAATGTGGTTGCTCTCGTATACATTATGTAGAAGAATAGTATTAACTACTGTTTATAGTGAGGAGGGCCATCGACCACATACTGAATACAGATAAATATTTTTATCTGATTGTTCTGGCATTTGCATTTAAATCTAATGAAATACAATTACTTTTGCAGTCTCTGCAGCTTGTGTAGCTATTTCCCCTTCGCTTGTGACGCCAGCATTTGAGTTTATTGAAATCATGCATTATGCTGCATTAAGTATGTTGTCTTGTAATCATCATTGTAGTGATTTTCCATCATGGCTTTCACCTGCCAAGTGCTTTACCGCTTCGCATGGCATTGTAAAATTATTTGGGACAGGGACACTTTGTTAATGATCATCCAACACGGAGCAAGAAACGAGGGGATGTGGATCCAAACGCAGCAGTCATCCAGACTGGATTTTAAGCTTACAATAATTCACGCATATATTTATACAACCTTGGCTGACTGCCCCCACATTACGGGGTTCCTGTTGGGAAACATTCACCTGTGGGGTTTAAAGTCATATGATGGTTATTCAATGATTAGCCCAGGGTGTGGGGACCACCAAATATCTACGAGCCATAAAAAATGGGATGTGAGAAGGGCGCATGCACAGATGGAGAAAGGACATTCTTATGACACAGGCAAAACAGGAAATCTCCATTATGGCCACATGTTATCTAATCAAGCTGCGAGGAATTTTAACGTGCTTGTATGCACAATTAACTTATCCACATCCTTGTGTTGTTTCACGGGTGCAATGAGATGATTTTGGGATTGTTGCCAAAAACCTAAATTATGTATACAGATTGGAATGCATTGTAAAGGAAGCACTGACGAGGCCAGCGGGATGTAAACATACACTGCGTTATTCTGGTGAATGCATATAACAAATGAGGATGCACTGACCTCAGTTTGAAATTTGTCCAGTACCAAACTATATGAATATGAATACACAGAGAAACTTGACTAAAAAGCATCTTTATTAAAGGAGTCATTGTTCAAACAACACATAGAACAGGCGATTGTGAAGACACACAGTGCAAAATAAGAATAAAACTGATGGCCTTTTTAAAGTATAGTAAAAAAATTAATAAAATGCTGACAGATAGAAAAGCTAAAATTTCACATTGTTCACTGTTTTGGCCAGTGACTTGGCCCCGGACTATTGTTTTCCTCTCCATTTCTCTCCACATATTCTTCTTGTGGACCGTGAACCAGGATGCCAATGCGACTACTAAAGTTGCGTGTTTGTGGATATAGAAGGAAATCATAGATAAGAGATGCCGCTATGCCACCACACATCGGTGCCAGCCAGTACACCTGGAACGAAAGCAGAAATGAGTTTTATCTTTGACAAAATGAAATGGATAAGGAAAATTGCTCTTTTTTTTGGATAAAAGGCGTTTTGATAAACGGCTACCCAGTGGTTTTTCATTTTGCCCAGTATCAAAGCCGGCCCAAAGGAACGAGCAGGGTTGATGCCACATCCAGTGAAACTTATCTGTAAATGTAAAAACAAAGCATATCATTTATAAGTAAATACACTCATGTGATGGAATAATTTTTGTTATAATTTAGAATGGGAATATCTTATCCATACACAAAGACGATGGTAGGGGGCTAATCTTGCATATATCTTTTTATAAAATGCATAAGAAATGCAGTAGCTCTACAGAAAATGAGTTTTAGATGTGCCGGATTTACCGCAATAAACTTTTTTTTTTTTAAACAGTGTATTAAATCACAAAGATATTGAAAGCTGTTAACAGCCCAAGAAGCTTCATTGAACTACTTTTTGCACCAACAACCAAGGCGCTGACTTGTTTATCTGCATCTGTTATGTTTCCAGGCAAACACTATTTAAAACGGTTATTGGCAGTCTTTTATTAAAGTCGACATATGTTGCTGACTTGTGTTCGACTCAATGTGACACTTGTGTAGCCGCCTTTGAAACTGTGATTTGCTGAACCCCTGCCACACCACCCTGACGCACATAGAAATACTCTGCAGAATTGGGTAACATAGTGTAGGGAAAATCTTGAATCGTAAATTGAGAGAAACTGTGACACCCACCAACGCTAACTGTACAGGATATTTGATTTACAACAACAACAAAGCTGCTTTAAAAATGATCAAGATGCTTAAATAGTGCAAAAAGGTTCAGGCATGCTTTGACAAACAGTTGCTATTTAGCGATTTATTCACCCTCAACTTGATAATAAATAATATCCTTTAATGCTCTGCTCTGAGTAGTTTTATATAAAATGAAGGCACGTGTGCCTGATCCTTCTAAGATGACAGATTTCAGGAGGATGGATTGCAATCAGCTGACTGCTTCTCATGTAAAAGAATCATACAGATTTTGATTGCGATTCACTTACAGCTGTTAAATGCCCAAGTCCCACCGACAGCCCAATAGCCAAGGGTGCAGAGCCTGTAACATCAGTCCTTCGCTTGTCAGTCACTGCTATGATACACAGAACCAGCTGAAGGGTGGCAAAGAATTCGATGGCAAAACCTGCTCCTACACTAACATTTAGCTGCAAAAGACAATTACTGCCCATTAGTCCAACTAGAGTTAGGCTTGATTAGACTGAATGTGCTGGTTTGTGTGTGAAAACCAAAACGACAAGTGCAACCTCTTACCGCATTAACACCAAGAGATTCTCCAGGCTTATATCCATTCACAACAGCGCTGGCTGCAATTGCCCCAAGCATTTGAGCGAGGATGTAGAACGCACATCTGAGTGCACTGATCTGGCAGTTGACCAGGAGGCCCAGGGTGACCGCAGGGTTCAAGTGTGCTCCACTGATGTGCCCCAAACTCTGAGCCAGTGTGGCAATGGCTAGTGCAAAGGCCAACGAGACCTTTATTTCCTGAGCAATCATCTGATTTTTATCATTGCCCAGACCTATTCCAACAATAGAGGATAGGCCAATAAGTATGAACAGTAACATCCCAACAAACTCTGCAGCCACAGCCCTCCAAAATGCCCAACTCTTTACTTCTGTCATCTTCACCCCTTAAGAATCTGTTAAAACATGTATATGCGTCACTATTTATAGTTTGTGGAGAGGGGAGGGGAAATGACAAAACAGGAAGATGTTGTGCTGTGCAAGATTTCATGTAACACCAGAAAGACAAGTGTAGCTTTTCTCTTTTTATTTGATATAGCAGAATTTGTTTTCAGACTGGCTCCTTTGATTATTCTACAACATCCTCCAGCAGGGGCTCTGTTTCACGTTCCTGTTCCTGTTCCGGGGCCCAGCAGAGCAAGATTTTAGTTTTTTCTTTGAAGCTCTCATCACTGGGTGCCAGCACATAATTATACAGAAGCGCTGCCACCACTCCAGCACTCATCGGTCCAGCCCAGTACACCTGAAAAACCAAAGAAACCACATCAGTTACAATCTGAATGACTTGTAAGCCCAGTGACTTAGAAAAAGGTCACATTTTCAGCTTGTGCGTCACCAATACATACCCAGTGATCATTGAACGCCTTCTGTATAACTGCAGGTCCAAAGGATCGAGCTGGATTGAGCCCACATCCCGTGTAGGAGATCTGCAACCCATAGAGGAAAACACCACTTGCTTGCCTGGCTGTACATCAGCTGATTACATGAAAGGCTGATGTACAGCCAATTCACTCTGAGCCAATCTATTGTGTTGGCTTCTGCAAGATGGAGAAACCATCTGCCAAATTAATGACATGAGAAATAAATGAATGTTTTCATGTACTCACCCCAGCAAGATGTCCAAGCGTTACAGAGAAGCCATATGCCAGAGGTGCAAATCCGCCAATGTCACGTCTTTTGTCATGGAGTGCCACCAAGCACAGAACCAGCTGCAGAGTGAGCATGAACTCCATGCCAAAACCTTGAGCTGGGCTGATACCATTTAGCTAGAAATGATAATACCAATGGGATTAGAGGATTTTTATACCCTACAGTGCTTCCATTATTTTAAGCATGATGCTCATCATTTCGCATGACTGCTACAAACAATTAAAATGTGACATTAAGACTACAAACAGACCTGAAGAGTTAAAATTGTCACTCGAGCAAGGCTGAAGGCAATTCTTTGAATGCCACTTAGTCCAAGTAGCAAATATCATTTAAGGCTAATATTATTTAGGAAAATCATGGACTCCACCTTACCTCATTAACTCCAAGTGAATCAATATGTTCTGCCCTGATACCATACACAATGGCACTGCCAACCACTGCCCCCAACATCTGAGCCAACATGTAGAAGAGGGCTCTGAGAATACTTATACGACAGCTGGTCACCAGGCCCAGGGTGACGGCAGGATTCAGGTGTGCACCGCTAATGTGACCTATGCACTCGGCTAGCGTGGCGATGGCCAGGCCGAAGGCAAATGCCACTTTGATCTCACGATCAAGGTTCAAATCATTTGGATCTCCTACTGCAGCAGAGAGGCCCATGAAAATAAAGATGATCATTCCCAAGAACTCCGCCAGAACTGCCCTCCAAAACGACCACGACTTAATCTCTGACATGGCTACTCAGATAACGTCCAGTGATAACAGACAGCTTTCAAAGGAGCACCTGCGTGCTACAGAATCTGGCAACTCAAATTTTGCTCCACCAGTGAGCCACCTGAAATTGTGAGTCACATTCACAGGCATTTATCAGGTGTGTGCCTTTAACAAATCAGGCCTAATTAGAAGCAGCTGAGAGATGTGGGCTTCACCCAGTGAGCGTGACCTCCAGGTCTCCTGCTCTGCTCATTGCTTTTCTAGTGTTACTGAAGGAGATGCTACGTTTCTCATTTAAGACGGCAAACCACAACAGCAGCTCAAAAGACAGGACTTTGAATGGAATTGAATGGATCTGATGGAAATACAAAGAAAGTGTTTAAATAAGCAAAATGTATCAATTAGTACAAAAATATCACATGCAGTAAGGGGCAGCTTGGAGATTATAATTTTATCCAGGTTTGAGTCATTTTAAAATTTTCATTTAAATACATTACTGCATTAATACAATAATATAATTAAAAATTCAAAACAAACTCTTTCAAATGTCTAGTGACTGATCATTTTAAAAGAAATACAAGAAAAGATGATGGAGCGCTAAGGAGAGAATAAATAGGCTGGAGGGTGTAGGTGCTACTGCCATGCTAAATGGTTTCCCCATCTTTCAGTCTACTTGTTTTATTCTGAGCAGGGGCACGGTGCTTTGAAGTTAACATCTGTCATTTGCCACTGTGAAGGAAATGGGAGCTTTTGAATTCACGACAAGGAAACCAGCCCCTTGTTCAGCTTTTCTGTGTGAAAGAGCTGGCAGGTTAAAGGGTCACACTGCTTCTTGTCTTCATCTTTGAAAGAAGGATGAGAAGCCCTCCATAGAATCACATTTTACTTGGGCAGCATTTTTCTTCATCAAACAAATGTTTTTTTTTTTTTTACTTGCACATCACACTGATTGATTCTTCTGTTTTTAATGTTGACTTCATTAAAAATCAAGTTTTCTTTTTTCTTTTCTTAAAAAAAATAAAATAAATCTGCCTGAGATAGCATTAACATGTGTTTTGACTATAAAGAATGTTCACCCAGGAAAGATGCTAGAATGACTGGGATGACATATGGCATTTAATATAGGGCTGTGCGATATGTCCAAAATCTCATATCCCGACATTAAGACATCTATCGTCCGATAACGATATAAATCACAAAAATGTAAAATTTTTTGTAAATTCTGTGAATCTCGGGCAGCTCGACTTGCGTGAAGTGTTTCCAGCTGGGCGTCGCGTACCTGGAGTCGAGTGTTTTAACTGATGCATGAAACGATACATTTTTAGACATAAGTTGTAACGGCCGCCGTTTTCTTTGTGAGTATTTATTACACGGCGTGCTGCGGGGAAAAGCCTGTTCTAACGTTTGAGTCTAAGGTTTATTTTTTAGCAACTGACGGCTCATTTTTGCTTCTCATTCGTAAACACTCTGCATCTTTCACGTGATTCAGTTTATTTTGAAAAGTCTCAACAGGATCTTGAGCTTTATTGTGAAAGGTTTATGTGGAACAAGCGGACACACGGTGTTTTTACCGTCGTTGTTGCTAACGACAACGCATAAAAACAAACGCTTGTCTGTCTATAGTGTGGTTATATTAAATATAAGAGAAAGAGAGAACTTTAGGAAATTAATATAGCCACTACAGTGACCATCAAAATAATGAAAAAATATTGCCGTAAACAGTTTATTTTGCGACACCACGAAACAAACGATAGCATAAAATGAAACGATAGATGTTTTCATATCGTCATCCGATATATATTGTTATATCGAACAGCCCTAATAACACGTGATAGCATTTTAAGATGTAATGAACTGAAGTAAATGCAAATGTTGGTACAGGAGGTTATCATTTCTTGTTCTTTAAGCTCTGTGCTTGCAGACCATATTTTATTTCCTTAAAGATCAGCACTTTATCTTTTGGCACACGTGTATCTTTATAGGTACTCCTTGATTCTGTAGTGTGCTGCAAGCCCAACATCCTCCACAGGCAGTGGAGGTTTGCTTTTGTGGAGTGACGACTAACAAGATCAGAGCCTAAAAATGTATCTCTGTGCACTTTCTGCATACACATAATACTTTTTCTTGTGAAAGTTGCAAGTTTAAATCATGCAAAAATAGTTGTAAATTAATTGACAGTTCTTACAGCCAAATGGCATGAAATGTTTCTGAAACAGCTGTAGCACTGGACACTTTTTTAGGTACAAATTGCTAGTACTGGGTCGGGCCCCCTTTTGTCTTCAGACCTACGTTAATTCATCGTGGCATACATTCAAAAAAAGTGCTGGAAACATTCCTCAGAGATTTTGGTCCATGTTGACTTGCTAGCATCAAGTAGTTGCTGCAGATTTGTCAGTTGAAAATCCATTAATTGGATTGAGATCTGGTGACTGTGGAGGCCATCTGTGCACTGTGAACTCTCTGTCATGTTCAGGAAACCAGTTTGAGATGATTTGAGCTTTGTGGCATGACACAATATCATGCTGGGAGGAGCCATTAGAAGATGTGTACGCTGTGATCATCCATCTTGGATCAATATAAAGCAGGATGGATCCATGCTTCCATTTTGTTTACAACAAATTTTGTACCTACCGCCCAAATATCACAGCAGAAATCAAGAATTATCAGTCCAGGAAACGTTTTTCTAACATTCTGCTGTCTAATTTTGGTGGGTCCATCCAAATAGTAGCCTCAGTTTCGTGTTCTTAGCTGACAGAAATGGTAGTGTGGTCTTCTGGTGCTGTAGCCCATCTGATTCAAGGTTTAGAATTAGAATAGAATAGAATAGAACAGAATTCAACTTTATTGTCATTGCACATGTCACAAGTACAAGGCAACGAAATGCAGTTTGCATCCATCCAGAAGTGCTTTAACCACAATATAGATATATTACAGAAATGGGTCTGTTATAGGTATGAGGGTACAAAATATGGGTCTATTATCGGTATGTTATAATGTACACGGTATGAAGGTATGGTGTGAATATGTTATAACTATAAGTATGTACAGGCTATGAACAGGATATAAATATGAAAACTATACAGAAATATGAAATAAAAAGCTATACAGAAATGAAATATGAACTATGTAAGTTATAAACAGTTGTAAACAGTTGTAGAATTATAATTATCGTATTGTACAGAATGATTGTCTATACAGCATTTACAGTAGTGCAGTTAAGTGAAATATGTGGATATTTTTACAGAGGCTATATAAAGTGCTAGTGGTTGTGAGTGGTGGTTCAGTCCATGTTATTATTGTGTGTAGGAGGGTACAGTTGTCCATTTGTTTGTTTTTGACCATTGTGTGTGTGTTCAGTTATAGGTGGTTGTTTGTATGTTCAGTCCATGAGTTTAATGTGGGTCAGATGTCAGGAGGCAGGGTTCAGGAGTCTGACAGCTGTGGGGAAGAAGCTGTTTCGGTACCTGGTGGTCTTAGTCCGGAGGCTCCTGTAGCGCCTCCCAGAGGGCAGGAGGATGAAGAGTCCATGTGATGGGTGACTGGGGTCTTTGATGATTTTCCCAGGCCTTTTCAGACATCGCTTCCTGTAGATGTCGTTTATGGCAGGAAGTTGTGCTCCAGGAATGCGCTGGGCAGTTTTCACGACCCTCTGCAACGCCTTCCAGTCTGAGGCAGAGCAGTTCCCGTACCAGACTGTTATACAGTTGGTCAGGATGCTCTCGATGGTGCAACGATAGAAGTTCACCAGGATGTCTGAGGACAGGTGGTTCTTCCTCAGAGTCCTCAAGAAGAGGCGCTGGTGAGCCTTCTTGACCAGCTTGGAGCAGTTGGTTGTCCAGATGAGATCCTTGGAGATGTCGACACCCAGGAACTTGAAGCTGCTCACCCGCTCCACAGCCATCCCTTTAATGTAGATGGGTGGATGTGGGTCAGCATTCCTCCTGACATGTTGTGTATTTGGAAATGCTCTGGCTATTAGCTTCTGACTTCTGACGTCAACAAGACATTTCCTTGCAGTGAACTGCCTATTGTCTCTTTTTGGGGACATCCTCTGTAAATCCTTGTTTACAACAGTTTGTGAAATACTGAGACCGGTCCACCGGGCACAAACAACTACACCCTGTTTAAAGTCACATAAATCACCTTCCCCACACCTAACTGCAGTGAAGTGTTGCCTTGTGATTTTTCGGCTAAACATTTGCATTAACAAGTAGTTGAACAGGTTTATCCAACAAAGTGAATATAATTTGTTTTAGGCCAGTAGATTGGTCAGAGAGAAATCTGCCTTTCAGATGACCGGTGTTGTTTCTGGCTATGGAGAGCCCACCAAAGCCAATCATGTGAGCATCCTCCCCTCACTCCCCCTGGCACTCAGATGTAAATAAGACACAAACATTTCTTCCACAAATGTTGTCTTCCATATACCATATATCATATACATGAACACATATGAAGATGTGGATGCTCTAATGAACCCCAGAGAGGATTTATTATGGTGCTTGTAATGAGAGGGAGGCCTCAGCCTACTAACCGAGAGATTATAGGATGGACAGAGATGATTTAATCAAGCAGAAATGGAAGCAAGTCAAGTATATAATCAATATGTATGCTGGTCTGTTAGGCAGAGTAAAACAGCACTGACAACTTCAAAGGGTTTTCCTCGCAGCTGCTTGAAACGGGTGAAAGAACAAAATAAAAGTAAGGTGAACAGAGAAGAAGTGCAACTAAATCAAACAGTAAGTAAAAAAAAAGATTAAATTGTCATTATATATGTTTCATTTATGTTACACCCCAGCCCAGGGAACCGGCGTGCGACATAAGGAAAATAAAAATAAGGAAAAATGCCCCCCCACTCCCTGCTCTTAAGGAGGACGAACCAACAAAAAACAGCTACCACGGATTGTTAGAAAAACATTCTGGTGGGGGGGGGGGGATTAATTCATCTGCAGGTCCAGACGATGAGATTGAAGCGTCTGTGCATAAAAGACTCTCGCTGAGCCTGAGTGGTTTTCTCTAAATAAGGATCCTAATCGCAAATAGTCTTATCTACATATGACATATTTTCCATCACCACCCTCACCAGCCACAATGATGTTATCTGTTATTGTAGGAGACGGCAGTGAAGCACAGAACAAAGAAAGATTAATCAACAGTACAACTCCAAACCCTTTTATCTGGCTGTCAAATATAGATCTGATTCATGCTGGTTATACATTTTAAATTCCTTGTACGTCGATATATCCGACTGAAGTAAGACGCACATAGACTTTATGCACAAAGCAGTTGGATGAAGGGATTTTGCTTTAGTTTCTGGGTTGTTTTTAAAATTGTATTTTCAGGAATGGACTTTAAGAGATTGATTTTCTCTTGTCTAGTGAGTGGTTCAGAAATCTTACCCTCTTAGCAGTGACCTGTATACGAATCCCTACATATTATATTGCATGTCATGCAATGAATGAGTTACTATAGATCCACTGGTTAACAAAACTACCACCATCATTTCGGTTGATGAAGGGCAGGGCAATCAATACATACATCTTCACTGTACTGAATGTTTTTTTTTTTTCAAAGGCAGTGATTGTCCCATATTGCAGGTTTAGGTTGAGAAATGCTCAGGGACAAAACACACTTTGATAAGTTAAACCCTGTGCAGCAACTCCCAAATTTGTACTGCAGAGACCACTTTGTTGCTTTGGGGAGAACACAGCAGAAGCTGAATCCCAGCCCACTGTGCTAAAGCTCAAAAATATGCTGCAGCCAGTAAAAAGGAGCCTTGATTGCTGGATCAAAACTGTCACACGCAACAGCAACCTGCCAGTGCTTCACCTGCTAAAAGCACAACCCCTCCATTTGTAATCAACAACAGCTGGGCAGTGCAAAACCCAAGAAAACAGGGGTGGAAAATCTGTATTCATACGTCACTGTCTGCATGCTTGGGTGTTTGGGCTGCTAGCCTATTCTTTACATCACTTTTGTTTCTCACCAAAAAATTTTTGTAGTCATCACTGTGGCCGAATCCTTTTCTTGCCCACCTTCTGCGAGCTAATCAGCCTCTTTCCTGTCTGTTTGCAGACCCACATTTTGTGCAACCCACTTCCTCCTCGTCTCTTCCTCAACTGTCCAACTTCTTCATCTCTGCCACCACCAGCATCTACACTCACTTCCTGCTTCCTACCATTGTTGGACTTTGCCCTGCAACATAGCTTCATCAGAGTCTAACTTTCAAATACTTAATATCACAAACTCTGTATTTCACTAAATCACATTCAGTTCTTTCACATGACTTTCATTAAAACGCAGGGATATCAAACTCATTTCATGGCCACATGCAGCCCGCTTTGATCTTAAAGAAAAAGAAGTGCAATTTCCACTTTACATCTCAGTTTTTCTAAATGATAAAAAATATTGCTGTAGTAAATGAAAGAAATGTGTTAACATGAATAAGTAAACATGTAAAATTACAGGAAAAGAAAGCGTCCTATTCTATCTTCCTTTCTTTCTTGATTCCAAGCTGTGACCTGGAACAAGACTTCCTGTGCACCTAGCTCGCAAATCAGCCACTTTAGCCAAAGTCCACATCGGATGGAAGACCCGTGGTCTCAGTTAGTTTGCAGCACCAGGCATCCAACCAGGAGAGAGGAATTCAGAGGCTGTGCCTAACTTTAAGTCATTATATAATTTTTAGCAGTTCACCTTGTACTTAACTTTTGGGAGGGGGTTGTAAAAGAGATGAAACACAGGAGGTCAGTTTTCTCTCTCTCTCTTTTTGTTGTTTTGCCTTTTTCAGATTTCTGGAAACTTTAGATTTAATTTAAATGTAATACCATCAGATGAGATTAAAGCTTTGGGGTATGATGTGAGGTTCTCACTCAGATTTTTTCCCCCTCTTTTTGTTTATGTTTTTTGACCTTTTTATTCACATTTCACATTTTACCCTTCATGATCTGTGAATTGCAGACAACTTTACTCTCATTTGTTTTTAAATAAAGCCAGGATGCTAAACTAAACCTTTCTTTGCCACAAGGTTATTCAGATTGCTTAAAAATTTGTGAAGAAATTTACACAACTAAATAATAATATCAGCTAATTCATCATTCTGTAAAATCTGGTTTTAAGAACAGTTATTTTAGTTGAAGTGTTGCTTACGTATTCCATTTTCACAAATGAACTTGTGTGTAAAGAGCTTTCTGATTTCACAGTGTCTGCAGGAGGATTGCAGAGTAATAGGATATCATCTTTTTTCATAGGAGGTCCTGTATGTGTGATAGATTTGTGGTCATCGGACTCCATAAGAAAAATCTAATCCATACACTGGAATAAAGAACACAATCTTTTTTTAATATCCAGTGTTTTCTTTTACTTAAAAAAGTGAGAGGTGTTTCAAAAGTGCACACACAATACATTATCCATCAGAAATAAAACGTGATAAAGATTCATAGAAATATGTATACAAAAATGGCTCAACCTGGAATACTGATATTGTAAAAACAAACATTAACACTCGACTCTGTTGGGAATTTTAGAGTTAACTTGTCTCAGCGGTTTTTAGCCAAGCACCAGTTTTTTTGGGATAAAAAACTGGTGCTTGGCCAAAAACATGAGCAAAATAGGAAGGAAGCACCAACTGACCCGTTGACCACAATCCTCATTGGTTACCTTAAAACAGGAGAAAAAAACCCACTAACATACTAAACTAAATTCTAATGCTTTTGTACAGGAGTATAGATATTTACAATAGCATTTCATGTTTGCGTAGCACTACTTTGAGGTCATCTCCATAGTTGTTGCATCGTTGCCTCCATTGACGTCATAGTCACCCACTGGCCCGCTGACCAGCACCTTCATGCGGTCGGGGAAGTCATCGAATTTGGGAGAAAGCAAGAAATCGTACAGAAGAGCTGCTGCCACACCGCCACACATTGGACCCACCCAGTACACCTACAAAGGGAGAGTTTCGATCAATTTCTGGCATCATTACAAGACAAAGAGAAACGCAGATTCCGGTCATGGTCAAAAGGCTTACTTTAGTCGATCTCTCTAAATGCAAAACAATAGGAAAGCTGTAACTGATTAACACATGCAGGAAGATTCACAAGTAATTGAGGCATCTGCTGATGAACTATTGAATTATTTAAGCTTGACATATAATATCCATGCAGAAAAAATGTGAGGTATGCGTAAAGTGATTCCCCCCCTCTGACTTACCCAGTGGTCTGTAAAATTGTTCATGATCAAAGCCGGGCCGAAGGAGCGAGCAGGGTTGATGCCACAGCCTGTGTAGCTGATCTGCAGTCAATCAACAACAACAAATAGGCAACGTGAGAGAATATCATCAGCAGGAGCAGAATCCTGCCATATCTGCTCCTGGTTCCCTTTTTACAAGTTATATATGACTGACGATGGCGTTAAAGTGAAACTTACAGCTGCCAAGTGTCCCAGGCAGACTGAGAGGCCAATGGCCAAGGGTGCAGAGCCGGTGACATCACGCCGTCTTTTATCAGTGACCGCAATGACACACAGCACCAGCTGGAAGGTCGCCAAAAGCTCTATGCCTACGCCTTGGCTGGGTGTGACGCCGTTGAGCTGTGAAAGTTAAGGGAGGAATCCAAAACAACACTTTGTCAGACTTTGTCAAACTTTGTCAGATAGATAGATTGTTTCCTAGCACAACCACTTCCTATTTAGTAGCTCCTGGCATTGCCCAGGAAGCCTGACAGCAATCTGGCAGTGCTGCAAAGTGCCACATTGCTTGTTCATATTTCTTTCGTGGAAAACATGGTTATTATTGTTCACATTAAGTGGAGCTGTGCGGCTTCTCGAGGTGGGGGGGTGGGGCTGGGTGATATCAGGTCCAACCAGTGCTGTTTTTCAGTAAGGAGAGAGCTGTGGGTGCTAATTACAGAGTGGTGTAGCATTAAGTAATAACTGCTCATTAATTTAAGTGAAGAATTCTGGTATTCAAAACCTCAATTTCCAGAAACAGATTGCCAAAGTACAAGTGGGTGGACACTATATATATTTCCTATTTCTTTTAGCTGTTGCAGCATGGCATACTTTAATAATAATGTGTCATCACTATTCATTAATAAGTATTGACAGAATGTCCCAAGAACCACATAATCAGTGCCAATTCAGCACTTACATCCTTGTAAAAGTTTCAGTTTTCACCGTGAAGGTACTTTAAATACACAATGTTGCATCATCGCATCGCTGTGCTTTTATTTTTGCTATTAATGCAGAAATGTTTGAAACTGAAGATAAAGTTTATACTTACAGCGTTGACCCCCAGTACAGTTCTGTTTTCAGGCCGTGTTCCATACACAATGCCACTGGCTAGGGCTGAGCCCAGCATCTGGGCAATAATGTACATGATAGCCTTGAACACACTGATCTGGCAGCTGGCAAGCATCCCGAGGGTGACTGCAGGATTCAGGTGGGCTCCACTGATGTGGCCTAAACTTTGGGCCAGAGTGGCAATGGCAAGTCCAAAGGCCAGTGACACCTTCACCTCTTGGTCTGGATGAGTGTTGTTTATGTTCCCAATAGCTGTGGCGATGCTGAGAAAAATAAAAAGGGTCATCCCAACCAGTTCGGCCAGAACTGCCCTCCAGAAAGCCTTGCTCTTGAACTCTCTCATTTTGGCAGCTGTGGGTTTGAGCTGGTCCTCTGTAAGATGTACTCACAAACAACAGCAACAGGCTGCATATATAAGGCCTGGGTTGATAATGGTTAGTGGGCGGGCTTTAAAAAACTGAAAGAGAGGGCCACACTGAATTAATGAGAAATCCAAAAGACTGGGCTCTCATCCCTCCCTCTGCTCCCTCGCCCTCCCTCCCTCCTCTCCCTGTCCTCTGGCCCCTCTCTCACTACCTCCCTGTGCAGTACTTTCTGGTCTTTGGACTTTCGTGAGTAATAGAACAGGATCTTTAAATAGCTACATCCAAAGGTACATTTTCCATTCATGCAAACATTTACAGTTTTGTGGCAAAGCCTTTTATCGTGAGGTTTTTAGAGACAAAACACGAGTTTGCTTTAAATACAGGTCCAAGGAAGAAATACAGGTTCACAGAAGGAGAATTTTACACATTTAAAGTCATCTTTTTCCTATTTATATTCATTTTAAAGTTGGAAAATTCTGACTTTGAGTAATTTCTGGCTTCTGTGCAGTCACACCTTGGACAGCACATAAGGGAGTGGGAAAGAAGACAACTCCCACATAGTGATTTCAGGCTTCACCTGCCCTCCACTGATAAAGTTTACATGCCACTAGATTAGGAAGCAGTTTTTTGAGGTGTTTAATCCTTTTTGGCTTAAAAATGGGGAACATTTATTATAGATGGCAATAGCAATTCATCAACCGAAAGCATGTTCTCTAAATAGTTATTAGTTATTTTGTTGACAGAGAGTTAGAGCACCGGCAGAGTGAAACATCAACTCTGTGAATTGAGCTGCCTGTTACACCTGCCCCCTCAACTCAAGGCTACAAACAGCAGCTGCTTTAACTGGTGAATGTCTGTGGATGATTTAGTGAAAATCTGCATTAAGTTCTTTACCCAAAATTATAGATTCCTTTGCGGTACATGTCCACTTCACACGTTGGAGTTATACGGTATATGTTCAAACTGTCTTTAAGCCCCTTCATGTCCCCTTTTTTCCCCCCTTTGGGTAGTTGTGTAAAAGTAGCAAATAACCACCTAGAAAGTCAAACTCACAAAAGTAAAACTCAGCTATATGCCTCCAGTATCATTAAACTATTTACCTCCTACTTTATTGTTAAAGTCATGATCTCCCAATTTTATTACAACTAAATGACCTTCAGTTTCATTTATTCTGTCATTATTTTCACAATGACTCTATTTCTTTTAATTGTTCTATTTTGTGTCAACTTTTAAGTAGCATCAAAATCACTTTACTGGAAAACATACTTTCTGAACATCGGCCGGTGTGTCATATTTGATGATAATGATTACTGTGACTAAATTCATTTTATGTAACACTTTTGCAATATATTACAGAAAGTGATGACTGTCAGTGAGTTCCAGCTTCCTGTCCATCAAAAATAGGAGCAAACACTGAACTTTTGAACTCTGCTCATTTTTGTGTATTAGATCAAACCGGATCAAATTGCAAAAAGGGAAAAAATAACATTGTCTTTAGAATTTTTGACTAAAATCACTAAAATGTGCTTTGGTTTTCAGGAACACATGAACAGAATGACATATAATGTAAATAATAATGACATATCTTCACAAAATAGATTTTAGTTTGAAGTAGCAGATATATTTCACCACAAGGACATTGTCTTCAGAAGGCTTAGACCTAGCTACAAGAAAATATATTACATTTCCCCATTTAATTTTAATGCTTTATTTAGCCAAGGCTTAACTTATATTTTGATTTGAATCTGGGGAATGCCAGACACCCGGATGCGCTGTGGGAAGAAGGCAAGCTGTTGGAGGCAATGTTCTTCTGGGAAATCTTGGAGCACAACAACAGTTAGTTTGAGGTGTAGACTTGGCCTCCAAATTTCCTAGAGCTCAAGCTAATGAAGCAGCTGTGGGATGTGCTGGACAAGCAAATCTGATCCATCGAGGCCCTCGCAACTTGCAGGACTTAAAGGATCTGTTGCTAACATATACACAAGTATACCTCCTTGGGTCCCGTGGAGTCCATGCCTGTATGGGTCAGGGCTGCTTTTGCACTGAAATGTTCTAATGTTATGCCTGATAGGTGTACGCTGCAGATGGCATAAAATGAAATAATTTCCTTTTTTCCTTTTGACAATATTAGCATTAAGCCAAAACTGCAGGAATGGAACTGCCTGATAAACAACTATGTCCATTTAGTCTTTTCATAAATATTCATAGGGAGTATAAAGATTCAACTGCTTTCATTTGTGAGTGAGCATTTAAATGATGGATGCTAGTCAATGGGAAGCATTTACCGCTATAAACCAAGATGAGTAAAGTAAAAATACCATTTTGTAAGCGTTAACAGAGCAAAATCAAAAGTATTTTGCCTCAGTGTCATTGTTGGACAGTCATTGTTCTTACTGGAATATGCCCAGTATTGAAATTGCAAGGAATGTGATTAAGGTGTATACATTCCAGAGGGTTTTGAAAGACTGCCAGGTAGTTCAAGTCTGTTTGATTATGACTATCATATCTCTGAACTCAAGTAAACAATTTGGTTTTAGTGTTAAACTGACAGACTGCCTTACTCTATCTTTAAGCTACATTTAAACTGACGGAATACACCTCCAATAGTTAAGAGCTGAAGTTTGACAGACGATCAGTTCTTGACGGAAAATTTATCATATCTATAGATAGAAATTTTCATGACTGTTTGTTGCCTTTGATATGCAGAAGAAGTACTGGTGCAAAGTGTTCTAGGACCGGTGCAGTCAGAGGGCAAAGTTGAGAAATAGTGATGCACAGAATAAAGTGTGTGGATGCACGAGTAGTTAAAGTTTAGTATATTCATGGCCAGAAAAGTGCAGCGCTCAAGCAGCTCGGTCAAAAATGAAATTTGAATCCCATCCAGCCTGGCCTCACTTACGGTCTTTCATATAAGCTTCTATTCTCCCAGCGTTGCTAGACAGAGGCGACCCAGTCACATTAGCAATGACATACTAACATTTAAAAGTTGATGGCTGGTTAAAGACCTAATAAATAATTTATCAATATCTGTTTGTCACACTGAATAAAAATATATACTTTCTTCCACGAGTGCTGTCTTTTCTTCAATGTTAAAACTGAAGGACATGAATTTGAACCAGATTTACAAAGTAAGATAAAGAAAGGCAAACAGTGACATCTTGCCAACGGTCAGTAGCTGAACCTATAACAACAATGCCTAAGAGTGAGGGTTTCTTTCCAGATGGAAACTGTCCAAAATAAATACAGGAGCGGATTTAGGTAAAGCGGTGACGTATAAGGTTATGTAGACATGCGTAAGCTCTTTGGTTTGAAGAACAAGAAGACACAAACATCTGTTAAAGGGGTTAAAGCTTTATTGTTACTGAAGCTGAGGAACTTACTTTACTTCTTCATATATAGACCTACGTGCATTACGCAGTAGATTTGTATAGTAGCAGCTTTGTATGACTCACAGTTCAAAGTGATTCTTGTTCAGCTCATACTGGCTTCAGCCCCTCAACTAAGTTGTTTTAGCTCCTCTATCTTTAAAGCAACTCTTTCCTTAGGTGGGTGTGACTTCCGTGCCCTTAGCAGTGTGTCTGGGAAAGCTCACGCAACACAACAGTGAAGTGATAAAGTTGATTGATGGAGATTTAACGTCTTGAGAGTGTATGCTCTCCTCCTTGCACAAAATTGGTTAAGTTGTGTCAATGCCCTCCTCTCTGTATCTAGATCCTCTCATTAGGAGCCAGAAGTAAAAAGGTAAATCTTAAACTGAGTGTTTAGAGCAGTAGTGTGAATCCTGAGCTTTTTATGTCACATTCTTATGTTTTCTGGCCTCACAGTTTGAAACTTTGACTATGTTTGATCTGAGCATTCATCAGCGTAACAGCGTATACAGTATGCTGTTACAGAATGTAAGGAAAGGCACAAAAGGTCTCATTTTAACCAAAACCTGTGGTGACCAACATCATTTCTTTGGATTGTGTAAGATCACAAGTTATGAGTAGTCATGAGTAAATATGCATAAGAGGACAGGAGTTCATGTAAGGAAAGAAAAAGAAAGAAAAAAAAGGAGTTTTGAGCTTAAAAAGATTCGTATGTCTTAGTCATTGTATCAATTTCATTCAAAACTATTGCAACACAGAGATGAATATTTTAACCAAACCCTCAGTCTGATGTGTTACAACAATAATATAAATTAATTAAAAAGCAAAAGCAAAAACACTATAAAAAATAACAAAACCCCAGTGTATTTATATTAGCTTTGTGGCCTTGGATTCTTCATTTTTTCTCTCAGATATGAGCCATTTGAGGATATATCTTCACATAGAAGGCAAACATCAGCATATATTTTGCTGTGACCTGTTTTGACAGAAATGTAAACAATTCCAGAAATCTTCCACAGTTTACAGTACAATAAATGTATCTGGATCTTATCACAGTTTTAACCACTACTGGTAGTGCCCCCAAATCATACCTTCACGTCAAATCAGGCTGAACTGTGATAACTGTTCTGACCGCCAGCAGAAGAATGTGGAAAATGTTTGAAAGCTAAAAAAAATAAAATAAATGTAAACACACTGAAAAGCTTGCGTATGAGATTCATGTAAGAGCTGTAATGGGGCTGTAATGAGCATTTTTAAAATTTTCCAGCTGTCAATGGGAAAGTTCATGGTGCGTTTGATTATTGCATCTCTTTTTGTTTCAATTCAGAGGTGGTGCATACCAGATATACGGTGAACAGTGGCACTGTTACACCATAAAATCTCATCTATGCGACATAGACTGCTAAAAATCCTCAAGAGTTACACTGAAAACGCAGTGAATCACAAGAAGGAGCAGGACTGGGAGTTTTTCTTACTGAACATAGACAAAATCATAACTCTCCCACCCACAGCCCAAAGACATGGTGTGATCATCCATAGGTGAGAATATGAGCACGAATGGTTATCTGTCTGTGTTAGCCCTGTGACAGAGTGGTGACCTCTCCAGGGATTGGAGGAGATTTGTCAGCAAAGAGTGGTTGTAGTTTTCCCCTTTCTTGCTTCCCCTACAACA